GTGCACCACGAATCATGGAAATGAAATTCGCGTTTCTCTCCAACTCGAGCAACGTAAATGAGGAATAATGGATGAAGAGAACAGCTAGCCGGTCTTTTTCGTTTGCCAGCCTGAACAAAAAAAAAAAAAAAAAAAAACCGCGAGCAGCCATTCGACAGTGGCTGCCGGGAGACCTGAGGCTAGAACAATTTGTACGGATGCCGATTGCTGACCGCACGCAAATTCGAACGTGATAGAATCGGAGAAAATGGGGCCTGAACGATATTCCATCTCTTTATTTCGCGTCTGTCGTTGAATACTAATAAAAGCTACGTTCTCTATCCTTCTGGCGAATTTTTGTTTTCCATTTTTTTTCCCCCCCTCTTTTCGACCAACGACGTGTAACATTTTGCTGAAAACTCGGCAGTGGTAGTGTTCTTAAGGGATAATTCTCTCGACATCAGTGAGAATTGAAAAGTTACAAGTTGCATTTTATGATCTAACTATGATGAAACAGGATAATCCGAATTCAGGATATCTGATGGAATTTATGAGTAAAATTTCATTTCAATACCGTATGAAAGAATTGGTTACCTCTGGCTATTATATACCGTAAAATTTTGCTAATAATATTAATTCCGGATATGTGTCACGAATTTATTATGTATCCTTTGTTTGCCTCTGTTCCTATGATATAATCGTCTTCACCGAAATAATTGTTCTCGCCAAAACCTTCGGATAACCTAACGCGTTACATTAAATGACAAATTAATCGTAAGATCAGCACGAAAAACGCCAACGAATAAATATTCCTCTTCTTCTTTTTGTTTCTCTTCTTTTCTCAGTTTCCGCAGTACGGATCGATCCTGCAAATTTATCCGGAAATTTGAATTACAGGAGTCACTTTCTGGCATTATCCCGAGGACCGAAGTTTCCCATCGCGCTCGTTCGTTTTCCACATTTTATCGAGCGCGCCGGAAATGGATCGCTCGTCAAACCTGCACGATAGCGTCGCCTGGCCCGTCGAAATCCTCGCCCCGAGCTGGAATGCGTCGCCACGCTTGACCGAAGCCGAAGCATTTTATTTAGTAGCGATCTAGATCGCCGCTCGTGCCTCGCGTATATCACTCTTAGGCTAATAATTAAACAAACCCGGTCGCAACTAGCGGTCGCTCGGAAATGTCAAGAATCGTTTAACCTTCGAACTTTTCATCCGGAGACTCTCGTCGCAATCGCGCAACGCCGATACTCCGCGCGCGTCTGCTTATTGAAAGAAAGAGTTGTAGGGAAAAATTCGCTCGATAAAGAAGAAAGAAGGAGGCAAGAGAGAAAAAAAGAAGAAACGAAAAAACGATGAAAAAAGGTTGAAAACATGCAGTTGAATGGTGAACGTGCTCGGTGAAATTCTTAAGCATTTCCATTTCACCGGCGAAGCAAGTTATTTTTGTTCACGATGAGAAAGTAGCGACCAAGATTGAATGCTTCCTTTCGAGTAACGATCACCTTCGTCTCGAATAACAAATTCGAAATAATAATAAGCTTCGAGTAACGGAG